GTGGAAGAGTTCTTGGTGATAAGAAAGTATCCAGGTTGTTGGCAGTTAATGTGGTGCTGACTAATGTTTGGGAAGGAGAATAAAACTCAGTATTGAAATGCGGGTTAATAGCAGGTATTGAGATTCTAAGGGCAAATACTAAAGTTATCTGGTAAACAGCATGAAATTATGGGAGGATCTTGGGCTGTCCATGGAGTTGTCCATCAGTGATTGTGTGTTTACGGGATTGGATGTATAGATTAGGAAGACATGGCTAAGAACAAAATCAATGTTGCATGCAATTATTGTAATGTGGTAACCCGAGAGGCATAGACAGAACTGTGACCAATAGGTGATGGCACAAGGATGAAGATCAGGTTTATGGTTTTGAGAAAGTGGTAGATAAGCGAGTGTTTCTGTTGACTGTATTGGCTGGAATTATGCAGAACATGCTGCCAATTAGGGTGGTGCAAGCAGAGATAATCAATGAATTGATGAGTGAAATTATATCAGAACCTGAGGAAAATAAACTTGCAGGGGTTTGGGGGCAGACATGAAATGAGACATATGGGATTGTGCGACAGAGTGGACTCACTGGGCCAAGTGGCCTCTTTCTGTGGCATATTGCATCTTGTTTTGTACTTGCTTAACCTCTTCTAGTCGTTGGCTCCAGGGGTTAAATCATTATTTAGGTAAATCTGCTCTGCACCCCCACTGGTTGTCATTCCACGGCAGAACATTATGTTCACTGTTTCATATTGGGTTCTGCGGAAGCACCCTGGCAGAAAAGGCAAACATTTCTCTCGGTTCTCTTTGCTGTGATAAAGGAAGGCACCACATGCTCTCTGCCACACCTTACCCCATAAAACATTCTTGCCAAGTGCCCAACGCAAAACAGTGAACTCTTTGTCCCTCCATCCCCGCCTCGGTCCGCAATGCAAAAGTGAACATTTTCTCCCCTTCCCGCCCCCACCAATGCAAAACAGTGACCACTGTCCACTGTCCACCCCGCCCCCTATGAGCCCAACATAAAACAGTGACCATTCTCCCGTTATCACGTAGGACATTGCCCCCAATAAAGATAGCGGTGGTAATCTGGGGCGTCTCGCCGCCTGAGGCCAGCAGACCTTTTCCCGCTTACTGCAAAAGCCTGACCAAGATGTTCGCATTCGGATCTATAGTGGTATGCAACCGGTTTATAAAACCTGCACTCTACACTGAGTTCATTTGTCTCCTGATGCCCCTGTCTCCTCATTTTACCGGCGCCTGCAAAACGTGCGTTCACCCAATCACATCAATCACGGTGGCACTGCGCCTGCGTGTGCCCAACGGGAAACACCGTCACATGCTGCCGTGTAGCTCCGCCCCTCATTAATTCCGATTGGTGGGAGGGCCAGCCATGGTCAATCGGTCATTCAGTCTTCCAGCCACTCCCCTTCCCCTCCGATTGGGCCAAATTTGCCGTCAAACCCTGGGTAAACAAACAGGAGGGAAAACACAGCAAGTCAGGCGGCATCTGGAGGAGGAGATTTCAACATTTCGGGTATTACCCTTCAGCCCTGTGTTATCACAGCCTCCTGTTGTCTACCTTAGATTCCAGCATTTGCAGTTTTGTTTTGTCTCTAACCAAGTCAGTGCGCGGGAACCATTGTAAGATGGAGCATAAGCAGTTTTCCCTGTTGTTTCCTGCCGTTCCTCATCTCCAGGAGTGAGCGTGAGAGTTCACTTTGAGGTGAGGAAGAAATGTGTCCCAACCGCTCTCCTCCATGGTTCACAGCTCCTAGACCCGGAACACAAGCTCCTTTACAACTGGGTTTACAGTAAGCAAGAACAATGGGGAGTGATGCAAGTGGGCTGTCAAGTTTAAGTTTCCAATTTGAAAATGACTGTGGCTCATTATGGTCCTAGAATGTAAACCGTTTGTGTGATATTACTGTTCATTTCAGTGTACAGCAATAATAGCAGCAACTTCCATTACTTACAGGGCTATTCAGAAAAATAAGAGCGAGACAAACAATGTTAAAAAGGCAAGCTTAAAGGCTTTGTGCCTTAATGCGCAGAGCATTTGTAATAAAGTGGATGAACTCATCGTGCAGATAGATGTAAATGGATTAGACATATTTGGGATTTCGGAGACATGGCTGCAGGATGACCAGGGATGGGAACTGAATGTCCCAGAGTAATCAGTATTTCAGAAGGACAGGCAAAAAGTAAAAGGTGGTGGAGTGACATTGCTGGTTAAAGAGGAAATTAACACAATAGTGAGAAAGGATATTAGCTCTGACAATGTGGAGTCTGTATGGGTAGAAGTGAGAAATACCATGGGGGAAAAAAAAACATTGGTGGGTGTCATATATAGACCCCCAAACCTGCAGTGGTGATATTGGGAATGGTATTAAACGGAAAATTAGTGATGCATGTGTTAAGAGAATATCGGTGATCCTGGGTGATTTTAATCTGCACATAGATTGGGCAAATCAAATTGGCCACAATGCCATAGAGGAGGGATTCCTGGAGTGTATATGGTATGGTTTTCTTGACCAATATGTGGCGGAACCAACTAGAAAGCAGGCCATTTTAGACTGGGTACTGTGGCTGTGGTACAATCTGGCTGTGCGAGACCCCTCGGGGATGAGCGACCATAACATGATAGAATTTTTTTATCAAGATGGAGAGTGAGGTAGTTGATTTGGAGACAAGGGTGCTAAATCTTAATGAAGGAAACTGATGATATGAGATGTGAGTTGGCCTTGATGGATTGTGGAGAGTCACTTAAAGGGATGACAGTGGACAGGCAATTGCAAACATTCAAGGAATGCATGGGGGAACTGCAACAACTGTTTATTCCTGCCTGGTGCAGAAGCAAAATGAGTAAGAGGGCCAATCCATGGCTTACAAAGGAAATTAGACATATTATCCAATCCAAGGAAGAAACATACTGATTGGCCAAGAAAAATAATATGTCTGAGGATTAGGAGCAGTTTAGGATTCAACAAAGAAGGACCAAGGGATTGATTAAGAAGGGGAAAATACAGTATGAAAGTAAACATGCAGGGAACATAAAAACTGACACTAAGAATTTCTATAGGTACGTGAAGAGAAAGAGATTGGTGAGGACAAATGTAGATCCCCTTCAGAGAGAAACAGGGAAGTGCATATTGGGGAACAAATAAGTGTCTGAGCAACTGAATACATATTTTGGTTCTGTCTTCACAAAAGTTGACACAAATCAGGTACCAGAAATGTTGGAGAATGCAAGATTTTGTGAGAGGGAAAATTGAAGGAGATCAATATTAGTAGAGAAATGGTACTGGGAAAATTGATGGGATTGTAAGTGGATAAATTCTCAGGGCCTGATAATGTATATCCCGTAGTAGTTAAGGAGGTGGTTTTAGAAATAGTGGATACATTGGTGGTCAACTTCCAGGATTCTATAACTCTAGAACAGTCCCTGCAGATTGGAGGGTCGTTAACGTCACTCCAATATTCAAAATGTGATGTCAAGAGCAAACAAGGAATTATAGACCAGTAAGCCTAACATCCATAGTGGGGAAAATTCTCAAATCCATTATGAAAGGCTTTATAGTGGAGCATTTAGAAAGCAGTGGCAGGATGGATTTATGAAGGGGAAATCATTCTTGACAAATTTGTTGGAACTCTATGAATATATAACTTATACAGTTGACAAAGTGGAGCCAGTCAAAGTGGTATATGTGGACTTTCAGGAAGTGTTTGACAAAGTCCCGCATTATAGATTATTGTGCAAGATTAAAGCACATGAGATTGGGGAAAGTGTATTGAGATGAATAGAAAACTGGTTGGCAGAGAGGTTGGCAGAGTAGGAATTAATGGATCCTTTTAATGGAAGAATATCGGGAAAGTAGGACCAATCTGAAACAAGGAATTAAGAGGGCTAAAAGGGGTCATGAAATATCTTTAGCAAACAGGGTTAAGGAAAATCCCAAAGCCTTTTATTCATACATAAGGAGCAAGAGGGTAACTAGAGAAAGGGTTGGCCCACTCAAGGACAAAGGAGGGTAGTTATGCAAGGAGTCAGAGAAAATGAGTGAGATTCTTAATGATTACTTTGCATCGGTATTCACTGAGGAGAGGGGCATGACGGATGTTGAGGTTAGGGATAGATGTTTGATTACTCTAGGTCAAGTCGGCATAAGGAGGGGGGAAGAATTCTAAACTGCATTAGGGTGGACAAGTCCCCAGGTCCAGATGGAATCTATCCCAGGTTTCTGAGGGAAGCAAGAGAGGAAATAGCTGGGGCCTTAACAGATATCTTTGCAGCATCCTTGAGCACGGGTGATGTCCCAGAGGACTGGAGAATTGCTAATGTTGTCCCCTTGTTTAGGAAGGGTAGCAAGGATAATCCAGGTAATTATAAACCAGTGAGCCTGACTTCAGTGGTGGGGAAGCTGCTGGAGAAGATACTGAGGGATAGGATCTATTTACATTTGGAAGAAAATGGGCTTACTAGTGATAGGCAGCATGGTTTTGTGCAGGGAAGGTCATGTCTTACCAACTTGATAGAATTCTTTGAGGAAGTGACAAAGTTGATAGATGAGAGAAGGGCTGTGGATGTCATATGTATGGACATCAGTAAGGTGTTAGATAAGGTTCCCCATGGTAGGCTGATGGAGAAAGTGAAGTCACATGGGGTCCAGGGTGTACTAGCTAGATGGATAGAGAACTGGCTGGGCAACAGGAGACAGAGAGTTGTAGTGGAAGGGAGTTTCTCAAAATGGAGAACTATGACCAGTGGTGTTCCACAGGGATCCATGTTGGGACCACTGTTGTTTGTGATGTACATAAATGATCTGGAGAAAGGTATAGATGGTCTGATTAGCAAGTTTGCAGATGACACTAAGATTGGTGGAGTAGCAGATAGTGAAGTGGACTGTCGGAGAATGCAGCAGGATAGAAATAGATTGGAGAGTTGGGCGGAGAAATGGTAGATGGATTTCAATCCAGGCAAATGCGAGGTGATGCATTTTGGAAGATCCAATTCAAGAGCGAACTATACGGTAAATGGTAAAGCCCTGGGGAAAATTGATGCACAGGGAGATTTGGGTGTTCAGGTCCATTGTACCCTGAAGGTGGCAACGCAGGTCGATAGAGTGGTCAAGAAGGCATACAGCATGCTTTAATTACTCGGACGAGGTATTGAGTACAAGAGTTGGCAGGTCATGTTACAGTTGTATAGGACTTTGGTTCGACCACATTTGGAATACTGTGTACAGTTCTGGTCGCCACATTACCAAAAGGATGTGGATGCTTTGGAGAGGGTGCAGAGGAGGTTCACCAGGATGTTGCCTGGTATGGAGGGCGCTAGCTATGAAG